CTTTTTTCAGTTTTTGTTGTTCTTAAAAAACAAATAAAACAGGAAAGCCATTCTGGTAAAGTTACATCATGCCACAATAAATAAAGGCCTTAGTTAAAAAAGAGGGAAGGAATAGAAAGTGGAAGGAGGAGACAGGAACAGACAATGAAGGAGAGAAGGGAAGGTTCTCTGTGCAAGATGGCTCTAGCGTGAGTAGCAGTAGCAGTGGTAGTAGTAGCATGTGTAGAAGTAGTAGTAGAAGAAGTACTGCTGAAGTCAAACTGCACTGGACACTGTCCCCAGTGTGCATTATGTGAAGGAAGATGGGATGTATCAGGGAAGATCATCTGTTGAAGTCACTCATAAAGTGCAGAGGAGAGATTCCCCAGCTATCTCTGCCCACACTGGTCTGAGACCAGCTGTTTTAACACTCACCCTGTCAATAACAAGTGCAACACCTGCTCTCCTACTACAACACACTTAACTGATACACATGTAACACTGTGGTGCATTTTAAATGACTGGAACGGGGAATCCACAGACAACTGCTCACCCCCCAGTTAGAATGCCAGCAGGCCAGGTGAGAAGGTGGAGGCTGGGTGGGTTAGTGGTAGGGTGGAAGCAAGTAGGTCTCCCAGTTGCTCACTCCATTGTCTGCATTAGTGACAGGCCGTTTAGAGCATGTGATATGTGTTTGTGTGTGTCTCAGTAGCTGTTTTCATGGCCTGCCAGGATGTAGAGGTTGCTGTGGGCTGTAGGGTTGTCTGTAGGCCTGCTCTCCAGCACCACCACCCTGCAACACAAACACACACACAGTTTAGTTTCAACAGAAGGTAACAAAACATGAATCAGTCCTTCCAAACCCCAGATAAAGAACATCCCAGTCTGCTTCAGCGTGTTATTAGTTTTTCTGACGAAAATAAATATGATATTGAGTTAGTTGTATAAGACATGAAGACACAGTAAAGACCCAGGATTTAATGTAGCAATATGAACAGAGAGCCATCAACCCACATAGGATATGATCCAAGCCTGTAAAAGCCCTGTTATTTTTTGGGGGGGAAAAGCATCAGAGGGAGATGTTTGTTTAGAAACCACATCCGCCATAAAGTGCACAGTGTTTACCCTGAGGAAAACTATAACAAAGCTGTTAATACTGTTTAAAGAAGAACACAACGGTTTACACATTCACACATCACAACTCAAAGGGACTCAGCTGCTGAGTAAACAGACAACAAACACCAACACGATTCTTCCTGGTAGCTCAAAATAATCAGATCTCGTACATAAAGCTGAATTTACTGCATTTAAATTTTAATTGATCACCTGAGGAGCTGCTACATCTCCTCATTGTTATGTTCTAATGTTGAGACACTGCTAATGTCCCACTTTCAGTAAAGAAGAAAAGATTAAATGATTTAAGATGAAGGGGCAATGAGTTTGGTGTCTATGTTCTGACTACTCAACAGGTAAACTCCCCCCAAACCCTTGGTGCATTTCTTAAACACACTCCCGTTTTCTCTCAGAAGCTCCTGAGCAATGACATCTGGAGTCAAGCAGACCTCTGGAGTCCCAACAAAAAGTGGCAGCGTACTGGGCCATCTGTGGCCAGCGAGCAGCGAGTGTACCTGGGCAGAGCGAGGCCTCTGTCTTCAGCCTCTGGATCTTTACAGTCAGCACTTCTTCAGTGATGGGACATCAGAGAGCATGTTAACAGAAGCCTAAGTGTGTGTGTGTGTATAAAGTGAGCGTACATGTGTTGGTTTGTGCGCTCTTACCTGTCTGATCCCAGTAATCTAAAGATGCGTGTGCTGTCAGAGATCTCCTGGGTGATCTGATGAGTGTCAGACAAGTGACAGAGAAAAAGGCAACACAGGTCAGAGGTTGCAAGGTGAAAGCATTTTCTTCTAAGACCGGTGCGCGCACACACACACATACACACACATACACACACACACACACACACACACACACACAGCATCAGTCTCACCTCGTTGGTCTTGAAACTCCGTCCCTGCATGCCGTGCCTCCAAAAGGCCAGTACACTGTCTTGGAGACAAACTGCAAAGAAACAGACAAACAAATAAGCTTGTATTGTATACATACACTAGATGGTATATGTCAACTCAAATTCCTTGGATTATAACAAGTAACTCTCCATTCCTGGTTCTAGATGTGGCCCTGAGTCACACTATGTCCATATTTATGTATGGGTTACGTTTTTGTGGCATCAAATACACCAATTTACCTATGTCTTCAATCTGGAAGTTGAAGGTGAGCTCAGCTGATAGCTTTCTACTGGATTTCAACCGGCCCTGGAGGTTCACTATCTTTATACATCCTGTAGAGAGAGAGGGAGAGATGGGGAAGAGAGAGGACACAGCTGAGTGAAGCTCTGGCATTTTGACCAGATGTTGCTGGAGCTGCACAGTGCAAACGCAGATGTGCAAAACAATGTGTCTGTGTGTTACTCACTGTCGAGGCAGACGAGGATAGTGTCTCTCTCTAGCTGAGTGACATGGATCACACATGTCTGTGGTGTGTCTGCAGAGAGAATGATGAGGAGGACAGCATGACTTTGACCTTCATCCTGTGCACAACATCTCAGAACAAACCATGTGCTGGCAGTTTAACACATTGTTACACAACTAGTCAGGCTGTTCTCACCTGCTTCTGTGAACCAGGAGGAGGTAGAGTTGGGGTTGACGGTGCCAAAGCGGACCACTTGGTTGAGTTCGGTGCCTTTACTGACAGCCACACAAATCAGAGGGTAGGTCTGCTCAGGAACCACCAACATCTCAAAGACCTCCAACGGACACGGCAACGGGAAGTCGATGTTCTGTCGAGCAGATTGAGAGAAAGTAGATGAGAAAGGGAAGTTATCTAAGTATTGTCCGTTATCTCACGGGATATGGGACTCCTCTCATTTCCCAGACAGGACATCAGGAGGATCAAAAGTGATAAACAACTCTACTGGTTTAGAAAGAAATCCAAATTCATCAGCATTGAGGAAAGCAAAAACTGACCTTGATGAGCATGAACCTCTGCATGGACTCCACCCACTCCAACAGCATGACACTGGACTGGAAGGCTCCACACAGGTACTTGTGGCCTGTGTATGGGTTGCGCACTGCATGGAGACAACACACATCACCTTTCAAATGTTGTCTCTTGTAAGCACTTCACATTTTAGCCTCAGTTACCGCCTGTAAAATGTCTTCTATCTTGAATGAAATGACATTTGTACATTATGTGGTTTTATAGTATTGTTCTACTCTTAAACACACAAAGCCGGTGTTGAAATCCACAGAGACTCACCTACGCAGCACTTTTGACACCCTTTAGTGTCTGGAATTTTATTGGACACAGCAAACTTCCTACAAACAGATAAAGAAAGAAACTGACACTCAAAAAAGGCTTTTATGTTGACATCAAGTTGAACAGATGATTCAAACAGGGATTTACAACAAAGTTTTTTTTTTATTGAATGGCACTAAAATATTCAAATACTGATAGTATTAGGATTCAACCAGGGAAACAGGTTTGGCCTCCTGGTTGATGGTTACCTGGGAATCATCTTATCAGGCAGCTTGTGTGTTGGAATGGCTACTGGTAACTTCTGTAACTGTCTGGCCTGTTCGAACAGACCACTCAGACTATGGGAGTACAACTGGGAGGCTTTTCCTAGAAAGAGTTAAAAAAAAGAAAATACAAAACCGAGCAGAAGAAGTTAATAATGTTAACTTAAAATAAAAGATGTGTATGTCAATAAAACTACATAAAAGTGAAGTGTCAAAAATACAGACATGCAAGAGCTCACCAGATATGGATAGGAGACAATTGTTCATTACATATAGCCAGGTACACCGCCGGGGGAAGAGCTGCAGACAGATGCGAAGTAGAGAGAAAATACAGATACAGCAAATGAGCACCACAGTGTAACACAACTACAGTAGCTTAAATAATATGTCCCAGTTTCAAAGATATAAAAAAAATAAAAATCTATTTTTAACAATGAAAGCCATATTTTATGAAGTATATTCCAAATGCATGAGCTTCAGTTTCACCTGTTCCATTGTGGTCTCGTGCAGCTCGTTAAGGTTTAACGTGTAGATTCCCTCTTCAGCTCCAAATATCAGGTACTGGTCTAAAGACACGCACAGACACCTTTTACTACTGCTGAGTGCAATCAGTCACTTTAGACAACACTGAAGTTACTTCAAGAGTCAGGGTGCTTTAATTCAGGATGACATATTCATCACCCTGCGAACTGATGTTCACTGTATCTGGTTTCCTATTGGTTACCTCTGGAGTCGGGGTTGATCCAAGACGTGGCACAGTGGATCTTCAGAGGACAGCCGTTGAACACCTTGGAGAAACATGCACCCATCTGTGAATGAGAGAAGCAGGGAGAGAATAAACATAATGCAAACATGAACTGCCCAGATTACATGGTGAGTGATGCAGAGTAAATCAACTGAAAACCACAGCAAATAGATCAAGCATGTCATAAGCTACGATGGACAGCAGAAAGAAACCGTCACTTACATGGACTTTGGGTGTAGGTGGGAGCCCGTTACTGATTGGTTTCTAGGACAGACAGAGAAACACACACACAAAGTCAGCCAGCTCTGAATTATGAATGCCCCTGATAACGCACCGCAACTGTTACGCATAAAGATAACACCTCCTAGTTTTTGTTGTAGCACAAACAGCTACATTTTCTTTCCAGATCACTGTTTCCAAACTCCACGAGATGCAAACAATGCACGGAAGGTGGACATTTTGGAATTTACGAGCACTATTTTGCTTTGTTGGTGCCCAAATCCCAGCCTCACTCATACAGGCACCCTGACTGACCAGCCTGAGCTGTTACTATGGCATCAAGGACATAATCCCTCTGTGGTTTCTCTTGTTCTCTGAATGCCAACCTCATTTGACAGTTATTAACAGCCATTAATGATTTAACTTAAGGAAATGTAGCATTGGACACAATTTCCTTAAAGATACTGCATCTCTGGGCCACTGAGCCAAGCCTGCGTACCGGAACATCCTTCTTGTCTTTCCGTATGGGGACACTAGGGGGCATGGTTGACTGCCTTTCTGCTGGACTGTTCCTCTCGTCACTGTGTGGAGAGTTCAGTCCATTACCTGCAATAACAGAGACAGAACTTCATGTGTCTGAGAGTGTATCTGACAGACAGCGAGGAAGAGTGCATGTGCACAATGCAGACGTGCCTTTGAAGAAGAAAGTGAATGAACAAACATATAGGGACTTTGCTACGGAACAAACTGCAAGCACATTCCACTCACACTGCCACATTCTAATAAACACCACTTGTTTCAGTGTGCACCATCTAATCTGCAGAAGTAAAGACACAGAAAAGAGTTTGACTAAAACAGAAATGAAGTGAAGGGAGCAGAGAGGGGGAGAGGGAGGGGGGGAGGGAGGGAGGGAGGGACAGAGGAATCAAATATAGTCATGAGTGGAGGACAGTGTGTAAGCACCAGTCTAACGAGTAAGCAACCACTCTGCGTTCCTGACCCTGAATTAGCTAATAAAAGAGTAAAATAATGAGACCTGTTATGGTAACTAGTCTCTGAGCTATGGACAGAAACATGACTGGGACAATAACTGTCACATACATAAGAACACTGTGCTTCTCCACCAGTACATGCCCGCTGAAGGCTTTAAAGCCTTTTCTAGCATAGATATACATTTATAATCTTTGTTTTACTTCCATTCAACAATACTGCTGGGTCCAAAACACAACACCACATTTAACCATATTTTCTAATCTGTTTTGCCACCTTTCACTGATCCAAACCCCACAAGAAAAGAAGTTAATACACTATTGGCAATGAGAAAAGTGTAACTTGTATAGTTTATACCAAATATTAGAAGAACAGGTTCAAATCCAAGTGCCTAGCCAAGAATTTACAAAAAAAAAATCCCTTAATAACAGATGTATCAGTCAGCAGTAAACTCCAACTATTAAGCTTCTGCTACAGTATGTATATCGTCCTGTGATTAAATGGAAATTAAAAGGTCTATTTTACACTATACTGACTATTTCCTTCAGTGGAAGTAGTTACCGTTTCGCATTACCACATACAACTTCCAGTGTTTCAAGGAGCACAAGAATGTGAAAAATACTGGAAATAGTCGAGTCATACTGTAATTATTTAACAAGTAGGACACGAACAGATGTTTCTTTCGCTTTTCTGTTTCTGTTCAGCATCAATCTCTCAGGTACCAGTAAGTACATGTGCTGGCCAGTTATTGTTAGGGACACACACACACACAAAAGAAATCCTCAAAAACAAATGTAATTGTATGGATTTGGTGCCTTAATGTAAGTTTTTGGTGTTTTCTTCCTGTTCAATGAAACAGTTAAGTTACAGTTTAGGATCTTAGGCTTACGCTAACAGAACAGAACCAAATGTTATCAGAAATATATCAAATAATTGGCAGAATACGAGACTGGATTTTGCATTATTATGCCATTTTATGAAAGCTATACAAGCAGGGATACACAGTATGTGTATTTTAGTGCTGAATGAGAACAGAAGATTTGATCCTATGTACCAAATCATAAATTATGTCGTTGCCAGGACAATGTTTTGTCCTCTTCCTTCTTCCTCCTAGGAAGTGGTGGCAAACTATTAGTTTTGGACTGATTGGAAGAGACAACCCATTGGACTGCACAAAATGTGAATTTAAAGACAAACGAACATACTGAGCAGGAGCTGATGGGCGGAAGGGACTGCAGACAAGAAATTAAAAGGCGCTATTATTAATGGACTCATGGAACAAATAAATCAAACTACGAGGGCTGACTAATGGGAGACCACACAACCAATCAAGGTGAACGAAAGGGTCTTTGGACACTACCAATTTACCAATCAGCTGCTCTTACTCTCTCCCTTTTCCTCCTCTTTTTCCTGCTCCTCTTTCACCTCCTTCAGCACCTCCCAAGCCTCCTCCAGCTCCTCCACTGTGTGAGGCGTGTGGAGCCACTCCCAGAAATGCCTAAAGCTCCCATCATCCTCTGTGGCAGCGTTTTCGACGTCCATGTGCTTTGGGCTCTTGTTACCTAGGCTACTGCGGCGATGGGGCGGCAGCTTCGGGGGCGGAGGCCGTGGGAGTACGTTGGAGGCTGGCTTGGCTGGGCTCGCCGTCTCTGGGACGGGACAGCGTTTTATGGTCCCTCCCTCTCCGCCATCATCCTCGCTGTGTGATTGGCTGTCGTCGTGTTTTTGTTGCTGCTGGGATGAGCAGATAGACTTGGGCTAGAGGAAAATACAGATAAGGACAACAAAAAATTATTCAAAACTGATCTTTTGTATTGAAAAAATTATGACAACAAACCTATGATCAAATAAAAAAAAAATGTCAAAAACTTTCAACTAATCCTCAAATAATAAATCATTGACTGTGACAGAGATGCATGGAGCTCTTCTACTCGTACCTTGGGAGGAAGGGGTGGTGGGACCTTCGGCCTCATGATAGTGCTTGATTTACTGAAGAATGACAAACAGAGAAAAGAGACTCAAAATATATAAGAACTACTACTGTCTATTACAAACACACTCTATACACAGAAAATAATAATTTGTCAACCACAGAGGCTATGGCTGAACTTGTCAGTTTTTTGTGATCACAAAGAGCAGATGTCATAAGAGCCAATCACAGTGAACATAGACACAAACACACTGATTAAAAACGAGTCACAGTGATTCAGCTGAGTGGTGGTCAACAGACATATGGACTGGATTCATAAAAAGCTTTTTTCTGATGAACTACAGTGTTAAGTGAGTAATTATTATGCTACTTAGCAATTGGATGAAGCTAGTCAGCATTGCTAAAAGCTACATGTTTAGGCCTCTATTCTGGAGCCCATGTTTTTATTATTCCTCTCAGAGAACTTTAGATCAGTGCAAAGATTTTAATGTGCAAATTTACATCTCCAGTGCTGGTCTCAAGTCAAGTGATTTTAGTCTTAAAACAAAATCATTTTCAACAGGTCAGCATCTATAAGCTGTTACTGTGATTTCACTTTGGTGGAAGTCAGTTTAGGAACTCATGTTATTACGTTGTTTGCGTAATCATTATACTGTGTGTCCTGGATGTAACAAAGCAAAACGCCTTTCTAAAGTCAGTGAAAAATATCTGCCTAGAAAGAATGCTCTGGTGTGCCACAGACATTTGGCTTTTACACAGCGAGGTGCGAGGCTGGATGCCAAAGATACAGTTTAAAGAGGACAGAAGGTTGTGTAAGCCCATGTGCACATGCATACATGGGAAAGCAGATGGCAGCGCAAGTGGAGAACAAAAGACAACAGCAAATAGGATGTCAAGGTCATGGGGATCAGCTATCTAAAGACCCAATGCAGACCTCATATTTCATGCATCAAAAATAGCTACGAATCCAGTTAGAGTTTAACTCATGCTAGAACCTGATATGTAGCCACAGTGGGACCATTAACACTGTGGTTTTTAGTGCCACCATTGGCTACAGATACTCCCATCTATATTAAAACCTCCAGATGAGTTTCCGGGTGTAGTTTAATGTTAGTAGCTATTAAACACAAAGCAGGTGTAACAGCATGAAAAGCACACAGACCGTAAACACGCAAACACAGGTGGCATGTGTGACGTGATGGTGGGGTGTGCTGCACATAGATGCGTGGATGAAACTGTGGCAAAGACAGGAAGCCTTCTTCCTTGTCCGTTTCCTCTCCCTGCTCCTTCCCTCTTCAAAAGAGAGGGAGGGACATGTGGAGGAAGAAAGACAGATGAAAGAGAAGGAGGGAGATGTTTACTAGACTGGGAGAGAACTTACGGAGTGTGAGTTTCATCATCATCTGCATCATCCTCATCATCCCCTAAGTGTGCCACATGGCCCCTGGGAGAGGAGGTGAAGAGGAGAAAGGTTGGGAAGAACGGAGAGGCCGGGGGGGCAGAAATAAGAGGGGTGAGGAAGGGAGATCAACGGGAGAGATTAAGGGAGAAGGGAGCAAGCAAAGGAGACAGGAGATGACAAGAGGAGGATGGGGGAGGAAGGAAATGGGAAGGAGAACTGTGTGAAACTTGGTCCACAAACTACTTCTAACCCTTGAACCCTGGGCAGATCTGAAAGGACCAGCTAGATCCAAAGACAAAAGCAGAACCAACAAACCAGCACGTTAGTCTGCTCCCTAGAGAGCTGAACCACAGGGGACATTCAGCCACCAAACCACCTCTGTTTGAACCTATACAGTCCCCACAGGTCCACACACCCCACCACAGCAAGCCTACCCTATTATTCCTAATATTTCTTTGATTGTTTATCTTGCTATTCACTGAATACCAAAGCTTGGGAAAAACACCCATTTTGGTTTTCTAGAGTCGAAGGTGGCATCTTCACATGTCTTGTTTTTGCCCAACCAACAAATCCAAAGATATTCTGAAACCAGAAAATGTTGGTGGTTGTTGCCGGTTACTCTTTTAATCAATGAACTGACTAATGGTTGCAGCTCCAAAATATTAAATGGGTTAATGAAGATGGCAAAGTGCGTTGGGCACAATGAGGGAATATGATTTGAAGGAAAGATGTTTACTCCCTCCAACACTGACGTCATTAACAAGGCTCTGTTTGTCACTTAAGCATAAACTTTACTGCCAAGTATTATCAAAAATACAAGGAATTTGACTCCGGCCCAATGGCCCCCGATGTGCACAGCAATAAAACAGAATAAAACCAAAACCACAAATAAATAAATAAAAAGACAAAAATGGTAGTTTTTTCCTTTCATTTGTCACGCATCTATCATTTCCCATAATTCTGCTCATGTAATTAAAACACTGACCCAACACACATGGCTTTACATTTGTCATAACAGAAAACAGCAAAGCATGAGAACTGTCATTACAATCATGGCTGAGGCAAATAAGAATGTCTCCACAGACTTGCCAGTACACAGTAACTGCTCAAGGCATCCACTGCAGCAGTGGGTTTAACAGATTATACCTGCCTCTGAATGCGCGCGTGTGCGTGTGTGTGTGTGTATTGTGTGAAAAGCCATTCTCTGCAGGAAGCTCCTGTGCATGCACAACCTTTTCCTGATGACATTGAAGCATGGAGCAAGCTACAGAGGAAAATAAGAACCCCAGAAGAAGCCAAAATGCCAGGAGCTCTCAGAGCCTGAAGTCATTACAACAGCGTTAGTTGCATGTGATTGGCCCAATTAGTGTTGCCGTTAACGGTGACTGGCTGATGGGCGGGTGTGGTTAGTGGTTAGAAGACCAGCAAATCAAGACACCCTGGGTGAATCATGACGTAAAAGGGGTCACACTCACCTCTGCTGTAGCTCCTCCTCCACAGATTTCAGAAGACTCCTGTTTGTTAGACAAGTGAAAAGTACAAATGAGAGAAAACAATAGATAGATGAGAGAAAGATATCAAAATACTTGGTAAATCCTCTTAGCCCATCCCAGACTACGGAGGACATTCTGCTGCCCTGATCTAAACCTGAGATTCACAAAGTTCTAAGCAGAGAGCTCATGCAAACACAAAGCTTTGGCATCCTAAAGCTGCAGCTGTCAAACCTACACACAACACAAAATCTCTCCATAGTTCACATTATGGTTCTCCCTGTTTGTCCACAGCTTTCCTCAACCGAGACAGTTATAAAACTAGAACGTGTAACTGGGAAAACTGGAGAAAATTCAAACCAAATGGAGACCGAGGAGAAAAGGAATAAACAGAAGACATGATAAAAGAGACAAAAAAACAAACTCACTTGTTTCCTCCCAGCAGACTTGGTGAACCATGCCCATACTCAAACTGCAGGTCCTACGACACAGACAAATGACTTTACTACTGTGGCGACACACAAAAGCGGCTCATTTAAAACGATACTATGTATTTTATTTGCCCAGGAGCACAAACAAGGCTGAAGTTCTCCTCCGTGTGCTTCAATAAACCAAAAAAGTGACTACAACTGAAGCCACGGTCAATTGCCAAATTACCACAGGGGCTGTAATGACAGAAATAACACCACCCCAATAAAATCAGGAAGATCAGACTGAGTATTCATCATCATAGACATACACACAATGAGAACACAGTACTGAGTTCACACTGTGGCCTAACAAGTGTTTTAATCATAATATGTTGGCCAAAGCAATCCCATCTTGTCTTCATGGATTTGATGAAGATGTTTAACAATTACAGATTTGCTGATATAATAAAATGAACACATCCATTTGCTGTTTGACATTTGTTACAAAAGCCACAATGTGAATGCAGCATTGCATCACAACGTAATGTAACAAGCTTGCAAACTAAACTAACATACTGCAAATAAAAACAAACATTACATAGACACACACACAGGAAAACAGCCTCATAGGTCAACTGCAGGACGTTAGAGGTCAGAAAATTAGTAGTGAACAGAAGAGAGAGACATTCTGTAGAGAGAAGTATCAGAAGGTCCATCAAACAATTATCACACAAAACAGAGCAAACATTAGAAGTATGTAGGTTTATAAATCTGGACGTGCAAAGCGTCTAATTTCATGAATAGGTCTGTGTTCGAACCCAGGTATCCCCACTAAGTGTCCTTGAACAAGGTTCTGCATCTCTACCAGCCGTCAGGGCTGAATCTGACCTCTGACCTTCTTCTGTGTGTCTATCTCACACTGTTTATTTAACACCCCACCACCACCAGAATCTACAGTGATTTAACTGAATCTAATGATTGTGTCAAAGTGTAAGCTGTATGTATATGTGAAAACAAGAAACACAACATCACTAAGGACTCTCGCCAGTTAGTGAGGCAAGAGCCTAGAAAACTGTAACAGAGGGATGGACCAGAAGAAACGGAACAAATGTGAAAATGAACAAAAATACATGTTGGACATCGAGCAGCCAAAGCGGTCAGCTCTCTTGAAAATGAAAAGCAAAAAATATAATAGGACAGCCAAGGCACAGAAAGCAAAAGTGCCAAAAGAAGGACGAGGACTGATTCATCAGAAACAGATCATGAATGAAATCAAATATGAAGAGTGAGACAAAGGTGCAAAAAAAAAAAAAAAAAAAAAAGCGTTAGAGAAATGGAGACACATTAAAAACTAAACAGGAAAAAAATGCTGATGTTGGTAGACAGAGAGAGGGAGGCTGAAAGAGGGAGAGACAGAAAGAGTACTACCAGATTAGATCTCGCGGTATAGTAGTGCTCCTCAACACAGTCCAGATAGGGCTCAGAATCACACTGGTCAGCAAGACAGAGCGAGAGAGACCGCAGTTAATATATTAACCTGGACTAATGGAGGGAACAGGGAGGAATGGAGACCTGGTTGCAAGAGAGGATGATGGATGAAAAATAAATTAAGGCCAAAATGTGCTCCAAAGCCCATGGATCAAAAAGACAGAGGAGACAGATATTGGAAATGTTGTCTGAAGACAAGAGGGGATGAAGGAAGGTGGAGATGGACGCAGGAGCACACTGGAGTACATGGGGGTTGAAAATCAGCACGATTGAAGAGGAAAGACAATAATTTGCATTAATACTGTACATCACAGGTGCAATGAGAAGCCTAAAAGTATAGAAATACTTCAGGAAACCCTCCTTTAGTGAACAACTGAGAAAATTAGACTCTGTCTTATGCCAGTGGCATTCTCTATGGGTGTAATACACAAACAGGTTGTGATGACAGTTACTTCAGTAGCTGACTCCTTGCTTCATTTGTTTCTGCCAGTCTCTTTTATGCAAAGATCCCAGGAAATGTTGCTGTTAATCATTTTGGTGACAGTAATT